GTATGTGTGCACAGTCTTGCCAACACCACTTACTGAAGAGACTATCCTTTCTTAAATGTATGTTCTCAGCATCTTTGTCAATCAGTTTGGTGTATTTATGTGGATTTAATTCTGGGATCTGCATTCTGTTCCACTGATCTATGTTTAAGTTTTTAAGCCGTGACATGTTTTAACTACTATAGCTTTGTAGTCTGCTTTGAAGTCAAATTCAAGATATCAAGATGTGATGTCTCCACCTTTAATTAATTAATTCTTTATTTTGTTCGGAATCACTTTAGCTATCCTTGGTCTCTTTTTGTTTCATATAAATTTTAGAATTTTTTCTATTTCTGAAAAAAAAAGAAGTCAATGGCATTTTTTTTGACAGGCAGAGTGGACAGTGAGAGAGAGACAGAGAGAAAGGTCTTCCTTTTTCCATTGGTTCACCCCCCAAGTAGCTGTTACAGCTGACGTGCTGTGCCGATCCGAAGCCAGGAGCCAGGTGCTTCTTCCTGGTCTCCCATGCGGGTGCAGGGCCCAAGGACCTGGGCCATCCTCCACTGCACTCCCGGGCCACAGCAGAGAGCTGGACTGGAAAAGGAGCAACCGAGACAGAATCTGGTGCCCCAACTGGGACTAGAACCTGGGGTGCCGGCACTGCAGGCGGAGGATTAGCCTAGTGAGCCATCCGTCAATGGCATTTTTATGGGAATATCATGGATATTTGAAAAATATTAACCCTTGTAATCCATGGACATGGAATATTTTTCCAACACAGTCTCAGAGCTGCAGACCCAAGAGGTATCAATGTCCTTTCCCATGGAGGGGAGCGCTGAAGCTGCAGACTGGGGGACACAGACAGCACCTTTCCTAGTTCCCATGGGGTGAGCACCAGCTACTCTGGAGATTGTAGGACCCACATCCACAGTCCCAGAGCTGCAGGACACAAATGGAACCATCCCTGGGTCCCAACAGGTATGCAAGGGTAGCAGTGGGACTTGTGCCCTTGTCACCAAGAGCCCTGAGCCATGAGACAGGGAAGAAGACGTCCTCAGATCCCAGCAGGGCTTGTGTTCTGGCTGCTGCTGGATCTGAGCTCAAGACACAAAGGGGAGCTTGCCAAGAGCACAGAGACAGAAGCCTGACTCCAGGGCTGCGCACAGCAGTGCCACCGCAGAAGGATGCAGCAGGGGGAGAAGCGGCTCCCTGCCTTGTGAAGTACCTTGGCTGGGAGGCTTCTGGCAGGAACTGGGGCTGACTACAGGCTCTTAAGACAGAACGGTCAGGGCCGGCACTGTGGCGTAACGGGTTAATGCCCTGGCCTGAAATACCAGCATTCCGGCATCCCATATGGGCGCCGGTTCGAGACCCAGCTGCTCCATTTCCGATCCAGCTCTCTGCTATAGCCTGGGAAAGCAGTGGAAGATGGCCCAAGTCCTTGGGCCCCTGCATCCACGTGGGAGACCTGGAGGAAGCTCCTGGCTCCTGGCTTCGGATAGGCGCAGCTCCGGCCATTGAGGCCAATTGGGGAGTGAACCATCGGCTGGAAGACCTCTCTCTCTCTCTCTCTCTGCCTCTCCTCTTTCTGTGTAACTCTGACTTCCAAATAAATAAATAAATCTTAAAAAAAAAAAAAAAAAGGGAGACAATAATCGTATAAAAAAAAAAAAAAAAAAAAAAGAACAGTCTAGCTCAGTTGTGGGATTTGGGGAGAGGGGCAATGTGGATTCCTTTCTTAGGACAAAACAGATGCTTGGACTCCAGTCAGCTTTCCAGACTGGACTTGAAGCCCTTGGATACTGTGGAACTCTCCTACAGTTAGGGCTGCCGACCTGCAGTGATGCCTGGGTCACTGTGCTTTCCTGCTCCCCTTCTCCCAGCACTCTGAGAGCTGGGGTCAGAGTTTCTACGTGCTTTCTTCCTCCCTCTAGACTGACCGGCTCTCCAAGTGTCTGTGCTACTTAAGGTTCCCACCACTTCTTACTGAAGTTTTCCCTGGGCCTGGGCCCTGGAAACACAGTCCTTTCTCTGTTGTTCTGGCTCCTGTCTTGGGGGAGAGAGTTCTGGCCGCCTCTATTCAGCTGTCTTGGATCCTCTGGCCTAATTTTGGCTCTTTAAACATGCCATTCCATTGTGCATAATATGCTTTTTTTCCCTCTGGTTGCTTTCATGATTTTATACTTTTAATTTATAGAATTTGATCTGTGTAGGTGTAATTTGCCTGGTATTTATGCTGCTCAGAGTTGGCTTCTATCCTACATCAGGTCAGCAATTGTCATCAAATTTCAGGAACTTATAATTTCTGCATTTTTTAACATTATTCCTCCAATACCCCTTTGAAACCTTTTTCTTAAATTCTTCTCCTTTAATACCTCTATAACATCTGTATTAGACCTTTGTTCCACAAGTCCTAAGGCTCTATTTTTACTCATTTTTTTTCTGTGCTTCAGGTTAGAGAAGTCATTATGCTTTTCAATTCTGGAATTTCCATGTGGGGATTGTATAGGTATATTTCCATTCTCTTGCTGAAATGCCTTATACATTAAGAGATAACTTTTAATTCTCATATTTTTCACTCTAAGATATTTATAATAGCTCTTATAATGGTTTGGTATGGTAAATCCAACATTTGAGCCATCTTAGCATTGGTTTTCATTGATTTCTTTTGTTCTTGACTATGGATCCTGTTTCCTGTTTCTTTGCACATCTGGAAATTTTTATTGCAGACTAGTATTATTCATGATACACTATAGATTCTGTATTCTGTTATCTTGATATGCTAATTTCTAGTCTTCACATTATGGGTTGGTCACCTTAGACATATACATGTTTAGGTTTTTATTTTGTTGGGGAGGATCTATGGGAAGCTCCTCAATTTGACTTATTGTGAAGAACTGATACTAGACTTTTATAGAATAGCTTGCTTATTCTAAGACATGGTCCTTATTCTAAGGTGTGGTCATTTCTTGTCTCAAAGTTAGATGCTCGAGGTGTTATTAGTGATGTCTCTCTACTGTAGTTATGGAAGATCTCCAACATCTTCCAGTTCTCTCAACCGCATTGTCTTTGTTCTATACTCAACTGTGTAGTCGTTGCTCTCTGGTAAGCCTTGTGTAGCCTTTCCCTGCACATAGGATCACAGTCCTCAGCCAGGGAGTCAGGGAGGCCTCCCTTCAGGACCTTGTTCCAACTCTGGCCACCTCCTCCTCGCAGGTGCCCCACCTTGCAGGTCACATCCACTTCAGGTATGCTTAACGCTGGTGTAATTTGCCTCAGCTCACAGGACTACTGTGTTCTGCTTAGATCTCAGCTCCCAGCACCACGGTTGGGAAAATATCCCCAGGCAGAAAGCTCCAAAATGTGAGGCTCAACTCATGAGTTTCTCGCAGGTATCTGACTTGGCATGCCTGTTTTTCAATGTTTGACAATGATTGCTTCCCCCTAGGGTACTTCCAAAGGTTCATTGAAAAATAGAACTCTAAGGGGCCAGTACTGTGGCAAAGGGGTTGAGCCGCCGCCTGAGGTGCTGGTATCCCATGTGGGTGCCAGTTTGGGTCCTGGCTGCTCCACTTCTGATCCAGCTCTCTGCTATGGCCTGGGAAAGCAGTGGAAGATGGCCCAAGTCCTTGGGTCCCTGAACCAATGTGGGAGACCTGGAAGAAGCTCCTGGATCTGGCTTCAGATCAGCCCAGTTCTGGCTGCTGTGGCCATCTGGGAAGTGAACCAGTGGATGGAAGACCTCTCTCTTTCTGTCTCTGCTTCTCTGTGGCTCTGCCTTTCAAATAAATAAGTGAATTTAAAAAAAAGAAAGAAAGAAAGAAAGAAAGAAAGAAAGAAAAATAGAACTAAAAGAATACATTTATCCTGTTGCAAAAGACAAGTTTGAAGTCCATTAACAGGGGGCCAGTGTTGTAGTGCAAATGGTTAAGCCAACTCCCATGATGCCAGTATCCCTTATAAGCATTAGTTCAAGACACAGCTGCTCCATTTCCAATTCAGCTTCCTGCAAATGTGTCTGGGAAGGCAATGGAAGACAGTTCAATTACTGGGCCACTGCCACTCACGTGAGAGACTCAGATGGAGTTCCAGGTTCCTGGCTTTGACCTAGCCTAGCCCTGGCTCCTGTGGTCATCTGGGGTGTGATCCAGAAGATGGAGGATCGATCTCTCTCTCACTCTGTTTTTCTCTCTCTCCCTCCCTCCCTCCTTCTCTAACTATTCCTTTCAAATAAATAAATATTTTTAAAAAATCCATGCACAGTTATTTTTATAATATGTATATCCCATGAACTTTCTGAAGACTCTTCATGTATTTTGCCCAGTTTTATGACTATTTATTCCAGAAGAAATCATCTAACACCAGTTATTCCATCATAGCCAAAATTTGAACCAAATACCCAAAATCAAAACGTTTTCTATATCTCTTCTATATTCTCCCAGTTTTCCAACCCTGTAATGTTCATATTAGTGAAACATAATATATAAGTGTTTTGAGTCATTAAGAAATTTGATATATTAAACTTGCAAAAGTAAGCCAAGCAGACCAACTTGACCATTTATAATCACTGCACTTCAGTAAGATGGGCTGTGAAGGCTAAGTAATTAGTCAATAAGGTCTCTTTATCACCACTGCCATGAAGTCCATCTGCATCTAGGCCTTAGTCTATTGGGTGGTCTTTTGGGTCTGTTTTTAACTTTGCATCATAGGAGTTTCTGGTAGAAAAAGAAAAAAAAATTTGAACAGACTACTAAGTTTTTAGGATAGAATGGAATATTTTTGTTGAGTAGAATGATTAAAGTTCTATCAAAATGTCAGAGAAAATAAGCAAAAGGATGATATTATCTTATTTTAGGATAATTAATATATGAATTGGGCCCATCACTAACCCTCTGAAAAAGACCAAAAACTATTATGATTCTTCTTTTACAGAAGGGTAACTAAGAATCAGATAAGTTAGTTGATTTGTCTGACACTACACAGGTAGATTTTAGAAAAAGCAGAGACACTGTGAATAAACTTACCATAACATCCGGTACAGAGTACACAGAGTAGCTTCTCAGGCCATCTCTGGGAATAGGCAGAATACATAGCCAGCTATGAGGTATAATTTGAGAGGTGCCAAGTTATTCATTCTGTAGCTAATTACAGGGCCTAAAATTTCGGTGTTAGTCATTCATTTTAGCTTGAGCCATCAGTGACCTGTTAAAATAGGAATCTAATCACCTTGTATTTTTATAGCAATTCACAATTTTCCAAATATGTTTGGCATTTAATAATAATACTTAACATTTTCTATGAACATTTTCTATGTGCAGGTACTATTTTAAATGTTCCTCAACTATTTAACTATTTTTATCAACCTATAATTCTGTACCATAATTATTACCATATTACATACAAAGAAGCTAAAACATGTAAGATTAAATAATATTCTTGTGGTCATAAAATAAAAAATAGAGAAGTTGAGTTTTGAGTCCAGATCCAGAATTCTTGCTTTTAACTAAATTGTTATGCTATGAACTATTTGATCCAATCAAAAAGTTTGCAAGATAAGAGAATTTTAAATCTTTTACAAATAAACCAAAGAAGACAGAAAACTTAAGTGATTTGCCCAAGATTCACCAACTAATTACTAGTTGAATCTTGACTAATTCTAGGAATAGGACTTCTAGTTCACTTTTTCCAATATTCTAAACCAAAAGGATTATTAGTTAAGTCATCATCAGCAAAAGAGAGATTGGAAGAAAGACAGCATTTTGATGAAAACTGAGGTAAAGTTTTCTGAGAAGAGAAAAAGTAGTTTGACAATTTTTGAACCCCTGGATAGCAATGGGGAATACTAATTTCATTCTTAAAATATTTACTGATTCCCTATGCTCCAGGTATCATTCTCAGGGCAGGAATACATCTCTAAACAAAGCAAACAAAATCCCTGCCTTTACAGAATTTACATTCTAGTAGATTTAAAAATTATTGACAAACAGAAGAATTATATTAAAAAGTAAAGAGGTAAAATATACAGAATTGAAATATGTTAACAAACCAAGTCTATTCCTTTAATAACTCATTTATTTCCCACATGCTTCTAGAAAGCAACCCATTATAACGTAAAATGTAACTAACCTGAAATTTCTTAAAAAAACAAAATCAAACTTCTTACTGACAGGGTCAATTACAGACTATCAAAGGAACAGACGAATTCTCCCAGATAATAAGACAGGGTTAGACAGACCTGTAAACACACAGATTTTACACACTAAAACATAACAAATCTTTGAGAAACTTGCTCAGGCTTGAACAACAGAGGGTTGTAATGCATCCATAAAATCACCTATCTTTTTTTTTTTTTTTTTTGACAGGCAGAGTGGATAGTGAGAGAGAGAGAGACAGAAAGAAAGGTCTTCCTTTTGCCATTGGTTCACCCTCCATTGGCCGCCACGGCCGGCGCACCACGCTGGTCCAAAGGCAGGAGCCAGGTACTTATCCTGGTCTCCCATGCAGGTGCAGGGCCCAAGCACTTGGGCCATCCTCCACTGCACTCCCGGGCCACAGCAGAGAGCTGGCCTGGAAGAGGGGCAACCAGGACAGAATCCGGTGCCCCGACCGGGACTAGAACCCGGTGTGCCGGCGCCGCAAGGCAGAGGATTAGCCTAGTGAGCCACGGCGCCGGCCACCTATCATTCTTATTCAGAGTCTTCTTTTAAGAGATCCAAAGTTCTTACTATTGAACGTGAAGTACTGGCAGCTAGAACAGGTAGAGTCCCTGATGAGGAGGAAGGCGGAGGAGCTATCTACCTTCACCATCATCCTTTTAACACTGATCTGGCTTCTCCAGTTCCTTCTCTACTCGGATTTACATTAACAAACTCATCAAAGTTGACAAGGGATGGATTCCTAATTCAGGGTAAAAAGACCTCTACTTTGATTCTTTAGCCTGGGTTGCTAGGCAGCAGCAGTCTCCACTCCGAGGTAGCAGGAGCCTGCTTTTATCAGCAATTGTCAATCACACCCAGCAGGCAAGAATCCCCATGAAAAACTAATTTTTCTTCTCTTGCTGACCCAACTGTACCAATTTTCTGGCATCTCTCCAGGGCCCCAACTTAACTTTCAGAGGGATAGATGACTCCTATTACTAGAGGTAGAGGTGGGGAGAACTAAGCAGAAGAGCCTGAGCAAGAAAGAGAGGCGCAGGGGAGGGAAAAGGCATTGCAAAGGGAGCCGGGGCGCAGGGAGGGAAGGCAGGACCACTGATGGCAAATCTGTGCGGAGCTTGGTTTCCCCAAAGGCTGCTCTTGTACTTGGCAACGACTGCATGGTCTAAACTAAACAGAACCTGCATATCCTTCTGCTGTCCAACTATGTGGATGAGGAGTGGGCAGTGTAGGAGTTGCTGGGAAGAAGTCCCAAAATCCCCAAATCTCTGGGAACAAAAGACTAATTTCTCCTGAGCCTTCGACCTCTGCCAGGAATCTTCTCAGCTGAGGGAAACTGCCCTGACCAAGATCATCGCATGTCCTTCCCAAGGAGGTCCACGTTTGAGGGCCCAGTGTGGGACACTGCCGCCCTGGGCAGAGGACCTGTGAACACCGCATCACAGCTGCACTTCTCCCGCTGCCCACTCCTGCCTCCTTCTCCTCCCCGCAACCACAGGTAGAAATTCCAAAAGCACATCCTAAAACATGCCCCGCATGCCAAACTCCATTTCAGGGTGGAGTCTGCTTCCTCAGAGCCCTAGACTGGGATAACCAGGCAGGAAACTTCATTCCTCAGGTGAACTCACCTCATCCTACACTTCTCAATACAGCTCAAGTCTAGGAGGTCTTGGACTGCTGTTTTCAGCTATCTACTGCGGTGGGAAATTTGCCTGAACAACAAAAGGCGTCTCAACAGCCCCAGAGAAGTCCTCCTGTGTCCCTGAGGGAGATCTGGAAGCTCAGCTTCTCAGATTTTAGATGACAAGAGGAAAGGGTGAACCATTTGTTCAACAAGCATTCACTGGGTATGAACTCTCTATTTTTTTAAAAGATTTATTTATTTTGTTTGAAAGTCAGAGTTACACAGAGAGAGGAGAGACAGAGAGAGAGGGAGACAGGTCTTCAATCTGCTGGTTCACTCCCCAGTTGGCTGCAGCTGCCAGAGCTGTGCTGATCCGAAGCCAGGAGCCAGGAGCTTCTTCCAGATCTCCCACACAGGTGCAGGGGCCAAAGGACTTGGGCCATCCTCTACTGCATTTCCAGGCCATAGCAGAGAGCTGGATTGGAAGTGGAGCAGCTGGGTCTTGAACCGGCACCCATATGGGATGTCGGCACTTCAGGCCAGGGCATTAACCCACTGCGCCACAGCACCGGCCTCATGAACTCTTTATTAAACACAGAATTATTTGCTACCATCATTGTTGTCATCATCATTATTGTTGTTGTTCCTAGTAACACTTCCAATAGTGTCTCTGGATCTGGTATTCCAGGAATTGGGGGTAGGGCCGGGGAGGGGGAATCTATTTTGATTCTTCACATTTCCCTCATGGGAATCTTCATGTCCTCAGATAGAAGTACACTTAGTTTGCACACTATCAACATGTCCCCATCTGCCAATTGTCTGTCTGAAACCATTTCACTTCTGCAGATCTTTTTTTTTGATTCATAGTAATCAAGTACGTTTTGTTTTTTTCTAGACACAGATAAGCCAAGGTTTTGAAGGCAGGCAATATTACATTCTTTGGCTTGCTTCCAGTGGTCTGTAGTGGACATGTAGATATCAGCCGGGTTTCATGGTAAAGATACTCACTGGGCCAGAATGACTTCAGGACCTCCCTCATCATATATGACACTTCAAGGTCCATTTCCATAAGCAAAATTTGAATCATTTTATTTCCTAATGCTCCACTTTACATTCACTCTCACTGAAATGCTGCTACTAATTTTCTCTATGATTACTTCCATTGGTTAATATTTCACTCTAAACCATTTACTATCCCCTATAAATTCAGAAAGTTCAACTACCGATGTCCTTTGCCAGTGCTTTCCTGGTCATGAGGAATACCCAGTTCTGTTCTGATCCTCTGGATTCCACCTTCAATAATTCCCCACATTCCTACCTTTTGTTTTCACTTCGATTATTTTTCCTTTGAACAATAATCTCACAAGTGCCAGAATGATTCACGCTGGTAACTGCTATAAGGTGGTGGCAACCCTAGAGCTATGCTAAGGTATACATTGATGCAGAGAGTCCATGAATGAACAAATCGGCCATTGGCTGCTTGGTTCTGGGTCATAAGAAGCTGGAAAGGTTTGAGTGATTCTATGGCTAAAGCAGAATCCAGGACCTTTCTAAGGTCAGGTTCAAATTCAATCCAAGCTGTTGCCTTAGTCCTATAGTGAGTTCTGAACTCTTTCATTGGTCCTAAAGCTATTCCATCTTTTTGTTATCACCTGACCAATTCCGATGTCCTGGGTACAACCTCATTACCCTTGCTCAGGTTGATTTCACTTCCTACAGATTCCAGACAGACTCAGAATGAAAACTGGCCACAAAGGCTACTGCGCAATTATCCCCCATGGGAGGTGAACAAGGCATCTTAAGAACAATAGGATCAGTAATGGACCTTCTATGTAGGCAGGACAGATACTGTCTAAAATGTCACCATTACATTCCAGAAGTCAGAGGTTAAAAATCCAGAGTTACTTCTCTAAAGCACTTTGGGAAAAACCTTGGGATTTTGCCACTTACTAGAATAATGAGTATGTAATTCACATCACAAGAAATGAAAGCACCTATTCTCTCATATTGATGCATAAAGAATTGAAAAAGGAGGCATCTTATAAAGTACGAAGATAAAGCCTTCTTCCTGGCTGTGACTCACATCTCTAAATATAGAACTGCATGTGTGTGCATGCATACCATTGTAGCAACTTCACTATCCATTCAAAGTATTTTGTTTCAACTTTTCAATTCTAAAGTCCTCACTGTTCTCTCCTATTCCTGTATGACTGAGTCACCCCACCCTCCCCCACCCCCTTGCTCCCTGTGAGATAACAGAGACAGATTTACACAAACCAAAGTACAGAGTATTTTTAGGAACAAGCTGCTACTGGAAGTTAGCTCTCTTGATGGGAATCAAACCACCACATCATGTTTTAGGACAAAGCTTCTCTCTGGCAACTGGCAACAAAGCAGCACACAATTCACTCATTTGAATACTGAAACTTAGCTGAGCCCCAAAGTTTTGTTATTGAAATCTTCTAGAAAAACTATAATTCTATTCAGGTCACTGGTAATAATTGATAGAGTTTATTTGGATATTTTTTCAATTTCACAAAATATTTAACTTGGTAATTATGCAGGTAGATTACACCTGTGTTTTAAATGGACTAAGGGGCAGGCACTTGGTCTAGAGGTTAAGATACCAGATAAGACACACACACAACCTATCAGAGAGCCTCGGTTTGATTCCCAGTTCCAGATTCCAGCCTCCTGCCAATGTAATTCTTGAGAGGAAACAGCTGATGGTTCAAGTAGTTGGGCCCCTGCCACCCATGTGGGAAACCTAGATTGAGTTATTGGCTCCTAGCTATAACCCTCTCCCAGCTCTGGCCATTGTGGGCATTTGCGAGTGAACTGGTGGCTGGGGATGATTCTCTCTCTCTCTCTCTCTCTCTCTCTCTCTCTCTCTCTCTCCCTCCCCCTCCCCCTCCCCCTCTCCCTCTCTCCCTCTTTACCTCCCTCCCTCTTAAATACTTTTAACAAACCAGACTGAGTGTCATCTATTTTTAT